GAGATTTCGTCAGCGAAAACACAGTGTCAACTTAACGCATTGGTTTCGACCGTAATGAGGATACTGTTGTATTGATTACCCTAAACATTCAGAGATGTAATGGAATATTATATTGAATTGAACATATCATTTATTAGGAAACTCTCTGAAATAGCCCTCATATAGCTTTCCTATAGCTTTTCTTATTAAATTTTTATCATCATATCATTTCTTTATTATTCTAAAGCATTGTTTTCCTTTTTCCGGCTCTGTAATAATAATGAACTATATGCGCCTATTTGGGACCCTACCCAAAATAGGGGAATCTATTTTTTGTCAAGGTCAGGTTTCTACCGCAATCTTGACACCACTCCCTTACATTTAGCCTGACTTTTGCATACAGGTATTGGTATTCGATTAGTGTTTGCATTTTGCTGTTTGGATACATTTTCCTTGATTTTGAGATATTTGAGGTAAGAAAGGTCAAAGATTATCTTTCAACACTTCAAATTTACTAATATTAAAAATATCTACAAGTTCTCAAGAGTTTTTATCTGACTCTGACAAATGGATAGTTTGAATCAGTTATTTGGAATCAAATTAAAGTTTAATAGGTCGAAATACTCGAGGTCTGTGATTAGTTACTCAGGTTTTTAGGGGCTTAGCAAAATTAGCAAACATGACCGGATCTTGGTCAAATTTCATACTTATGATGTATGGAAGATTTGACGCCGGGGGTCATTTCCAAAAATTTCTAGCTTGCTTATTGATCAGTGGTATAAAATAAGACCCAAAAGTACAAAAACTTGAGTAACTAATCGCAGACCTATAGTATCTATTGAGGTTTCAAAAGGCAAATGTGTCAATGTCAAAGGTCAATGTCATCAGAGTAGGTCACAGACAGTGTAGTTTAACTAAATTTTGCACTAATTTTGATCGAGATATTAGGGACCGAAAGCTGTAAAAAAAGTTTTCTAAAAAAGACATCTTTTTGAACATCATCTAAACGTTTGCAGGAATTCAAAGCTGACCTTGAATTGAAAAGTTAACTTTTGATGACTTTCTAAAAAGCAGAAGATGTGATTTTTCACATCAGTTTTCGGATTCAAATGAGGGTCAAATGGATAAAAAGTCCGACTGAAATCTGAATAAAGTGAAATTATATGATGTAACTCTAAATCGAAACATGTACCGTTTGTACATGAGTGCCATCTTTATTATAATTGTGCTCGTTTTTGTGAATATAGCACTGTTATAATTATCTAATAATCGTATAGCTTGTATTCGCGAATGGAACGTTCGGCTATCGGCTACCGAATTAACCTACTATTCCATAGGCAACTCATTTAACTATGTAAATATGAAAAGTACCTGCAAATATTCCATTAATATTTAAATGAATTGGAACAGTCGAAAATTTCATTCGCGAATACAAACCTAGTATTCATTTCATAAAGAAAATATGAATCAAATTTCAGTTGCTTCAATCAGATATTAATTCTCGCAATATTTTGACTGCTCGTTATGCGGTTCTACTAAAACACACAAATAAAGAGAGAATAAAAACGTTGTGCATGTCTACCCCGTAACAAATTCCACGACCGTATTTGCTTGACTCGAATTCCACCTCCAGTGTCTTAACCTCAGTAAATTCGCCTTTGTAGAACTTTTGAGGGTGAACACCAAGCGCTCGCATCGTCATAATATGTGGATCATCTTCAAAGTCACGATCTTTGCTGTCGATCACACAGTTTTGTTCAAAAATTATCGATTTCTTTTTCATAATTTCAGACCATTCTCCTTGAATATTAGGAACAGTTTAATGTAAAGCCCACCTCCTTTTAAGCTATGCACTCCAATGAATCTTAATATTTTGATTCCATTTCAAGGGCCTATTGTCCAGTCTCCCTCAACTGAATTGTAAGAATTGCAACGTGCGGAATTTGGTAAATATTCCTTTCAGGTTCATTTACCCTAATGCGGGCAACGTATTTTTCATATTACTAACGGGCAGAGGGGGTCCGATTTCCTGTAGCTATAGCTACTACGATTACAAACAAATAATTTTTCATGGCAGAAAAGTACAGGGGAAAATCCGGAGAGGGACCCCCTCGCCCCCCTGACCACATTAGGGTTAAAGTAGAGGTCTAAATGGGGGTTTATCTGGTAAATCTTGGGCTTTGTACAGAAAGTTTTTATGTCAAGACACTTCATTGTATTTTTCTGTTTATCTACATGATAATGACACAAATAACAAAATACAATACATGTGATTTTATTCTCTTATTGTAGTTTAACACCCAAGTCAATGTTACCCTTATTATTTGGCTTTATTGAGCCATTACTTTGTGTTGTTTTAATTTATACTTTAATTTCCAAAATTTGTTTTTCTTTTTTCATTATTTTGCTTAGAGATAGAAATTTCACTAGAAATAGATTTGTAGTGGAATCGCAAGATTCAAGATTTTTTCAAGATTTTGAAGTGAAATCGCATCTTTATTAGTTACCAAGACTTTGTTGTACAGCACAAATGAACGAAACCTTCCATTTTGCTTAAAACTGTTTCTTATATGTTGATCCTGTGTAAAAATTAGTGTATTTAATATGTATGTTTTATATGCATAATCTGAAAAGCATCGTTTAATGAAACATATGTTCAATTGCAATTTTGACGGAATGACAATTAATAAGCGAGGCTTCATTACAGCAGATATGAAAAGAACTTTATATTTTATTTTGTTAAATTATTTTTCTAATCTTGTTTTTTATCCCTCCTCTGTAAAAGTTATGTATTTAATAATGTATATCATATCTGCAACATAACATAAAATGCAACGTTTAATAAAACATATGTTCAATTGCAATTTTGATGGAATGACAATTAATAAGCGAGGCTTCATTACAGCGGATATGAAAAGAACTTTATATTTTATTTTGTTAAATTATTTTTCGAATCTTGTTTTTATCTTTCCTGTTTAAAGTTGTGTATCTAATAATGTATATCATATCTGCAGCATAATCTAAAATCCAACGTTTAATAAAACATATGTTCAATTGCAATATCCGCAAAATGACATAATAAAAGGGGGTTATTGAGAATCATCGCGATCGTCATCAACCAATGATTGGTACATGTATCACGTACAAAACTAACTATTGGTATTTGGTATGAGGCAGTAGATAATTACAAAATACATGGTGGGCCAAAAATACCTCCCCTCATAGCAAATATCCTTGATCAGTAACAATGCTATATATCATTTTAAAGGTATTTTAATTTGCAATGAGTGTGATAAACAGTTTTCTGAAAAATAGCACATGGATCTCCACAATATTATAAATATCACTGGGTGTTATTATTCAAACAACATATTTAAGCCTCGGATAGATTTAATATGGTGCAAAGTTTCAAATATCTGATGTTCTATAATATCTGTTTGTGTTGATGGCAATATCGTTGAATACAACAGAGTTTATCATAACCATAATTTTTAAAATATTGCATTTTCTTTAAAATAACTAGAAAGGCGGGATCTTAGACAAAATTTTAGAATTTTAGGCTCACATGAACCTCGACTTCTCAGTTTCTAAAGTATGAATACAATGTTTATGTGACCTGTTCCCTAGACACTGGGACTAAACTCTTTATACCGAGTTACCGAAAGATCTAACTAAATGTCAGAAGATCCAAGTTACGATTTTTCCTTTTCCTTATTTCACGAGTTGTAGGTGGAGTTTCCACGTTGTGCTTATCACAGACGTATGTCAGTATCATATATTAAAGAACATTTAGATGTTTGCGAAAAAATAGTTCAGAAAGCGATAGAATCATCTATATAAAACCCACTTTCAGTGATAATAAGCATTGGAGTTTACTTTGGAAAAAATTGACGCATTAAAAACATCAACCTTATGACGAGGTTTAAAAAAATAGTTAGCAAATATTTTGCTCATTTTGAAAAAAAGCGTTGCCTTTCAGAGTATGTTCTTTGGTAAAGTTAGTAAAGCATTTTCATCTCTCTCAATAAAATGAAGCCCTGATTATGACAGAGATAAAAATGCTGTTCAGCAAATGAGCTTACCTTCAGACAACAATTTAGAAATACCAATAGGCATAATGGCCAAACCCATGCAGAGTTTACTCTAGGGTAAGATCAACTTTTTGACGAGGGTCGCGTTTCTAACAACAAATGACAAAACTTACAGAATCTCAAAGGACCTTTGCTTATAGAACAATTAAAAAATATGTCAAGTTTCATATTATAACTTATTTAGATGAACACTTGGAACATTAAGTCAAGAAAGCTGCCATCCTGTCTGATGATTATGCTCACACGTACAAATGTAGTTTTGTTAAGTTGAGGTCCAACTTTAGACTGAGGTTATCGGAGAAAAATGTTATATGGTCCTAAGTCTAATCAATTCAAATCATCAAGTCCTGGTTCAAAGATGGATTCATAAAAGTATTAAGGTCCGAATTCAAACGTCATTTGTAAATACTGTCAGAAACCTGGTCACTTTATTTTCAAAATGAAATTGATTAGCAATTACAAATTTGCAATTTCTTTAGTGTCTCATGATAAAGGAGCTATCGAGATAGTGATACTACTAAATAATGACCTGGCCGGAACATGTGCCTAGCCCTAATGTTGGGTACGTATTTTGTAAAACTAGAGGGCAAATGACACATTTTTCGGGGAAGGTGTATCTAAATCTCAAAAAAGGTTACGTCAAATTGGGTCAAAAGTAGGTCAAAGTAACATGGGAGTGGGCTTTTTTGGCAAGCAATTTTTAAAATAAAAACCCAAGTTCCCACCATCCTAACTTAGGCATTATACTCCCTATCACCTCGATTTTCGCACCAAAAGTTGTATTCTATCTGTAGCTACAGCTACTTTGATTACAAAACATAATAATATTTTTTGGCAGAAAAGTCATCTTATTTAAAAAATAAGTGAATAACATTTAAATATTTCAATCAGATATTTATTTTTGCAGTATTTTGACTTCTCTTTATGATTCTACAAAAACACGCAAGTAAATGAAAAAACAAAGACGTCGTGAATATCTGCGCCGTAGAGCAATCCATGACCGTATTTGCTTGACTCGATTTCCGCCTCGATTGTTCTGACCTTAGTAAATTCTCCCTTGTAGAACTTTGGGGGATGAACATCAAGCGAACGCAGCGATATAAAGTGTGGATCATCATCAAAGTCACACTCTTTGCTGTCTATCACACAGTTGTCCTCAAAAATTATCGAATCCTTTTTCATCATTCCTGTCCATTCTCCTTAAACATGAAAACACAAGGTAAGTTATCCAAAGTGAATAAAAGCGGAGACGATGATCGTACGATTGCCGATTAATATTTTAAAATAGAGAAATTTGTAATACATTTTGACCGTGCGATGTCACCACTTGTTAAACAGAAAGAACAATTTTAAATGCCCTTCGCGAGGATTAAATAACTTGCCACCAACTTGAACTTACCTCCGTCGAGAAAAGTATCCTCGGTAGCAGTAATACCATATCCGATGCAATCAAAGAATGTATTTCGATAATAAGTCGTACGATAGGTGGGGTTTGTTTCAGTTACGACTCTGAGATCAGACGCGAAGATGTAACCCATGAACGTTAGATTCGATGACGTTGTTGGCGAACCCATTAGCAGTTGCGTGTCAGTTAGGTCACTCATATCGACATTGTACCTTCTTTTGAGATATGCAAGAAAGTTTCTCCCTAAAAGTGTAATGGATTATTAATGTATATAATAATAATGTATATAATAGACACACCTTAAAAAGCAAATTCAACCATTGGACAAAGATCAAAGTCGTTATTTCAATGAGTGTCCCCCTATATCTATGAAAACTACCCATTCACGATGTCACTTAAAAAACTTCGGATTTAGAAATTATTTTGACGTTCATTTTATGATGTTAAATAAATTACTTTTTTAAGACAACTGATATTTTGTCAATGTGTCTGTTAAGCATTCTCCTTAGCTCACATGGTGAGCTTTTGCAATCACTCACTTGTCCGTCTGTATGTCTGTCCGTCCGTCTGTCTGTCTGTCCGTCCGTCAACAATAGTGGCACGTTTGAAAACCTCTGTCAATAGGATTCCTGTTTTAAGTTATTTCTGTTCAACATCAATACAGAAAACACTCCTATGACTCCTGGTTCAAAAGCTCGCCTATTTTCAAAATGGCCGTCACTTTTGTTTCGCGAAATTCACTCTTGACCCATTTCCTAGCTTTACAAATAATTTCACGTGTCCTACATTGTAAAAATTCATGCCAATGTAAAGGGTAGATATATGAAATAATTTTGTTACAAAAAATCAGCGAAAAATTATATCAATTTTTTTTTATTTTCAGCCATTTTAGTTAACATTGATTTGTCTATTTGACTCGCGAAATCCACTTTCCGTCAATAACAGTGGCACGTTTTAAAACCTCTGTCAATAGGATTCCTGTTTTAAGTTATTTCTGTTCAACATCAATACAGAAAACTCCCCTATGGCTCCTGGTTCAAAAGCTCGCCTATTTTCAAAATGGCCGCCATTTTTATCTCGCGAAATTCTCTTTTGACCCATTTCCTAGCTTTACAAATAATTTCAAGTGTCCTACATTGTAAAAAGGATTCCCGTTTTAAGTTAATTTTGTTCAACATCAATACAAAAAACTCTTCTATGACTCTTGATTCAAAAGCTCGCCTATTTTCAAAATGGTCGCCATTCTTGTTTAGCGAAATTCACTTTTTGCCCATTTCCTAGCTTTACAAATACTTTCAGCTGTCCTGCATTGTAAAAAGCCCTGTCACTGTAAAGAGTAGTTGTATGAAATAATTTTGTTACAAAAAATCGGCAAAATATTATATCCGTTCTTTTATTTTCAGCCTTTTTAGTTAACATTGATTTGTCCATCTGTCTCGCGAAATCCTCTTTAGGACCATTTGCTTAAAACCTCTGTTGATAGGATTCCAGTTTCAAGTTATTTTTGTTCAACATCAATACAAAAACCTCCCCTATGACTCCTGGTTCAAAAGCTTGCCTGATTTCAAAATGGTCGCCATTTTTGTCTCGCGAAATTCAAGTTTGGCCCATTTCCTAGATTTACAAATAATTTCAGATGTCTCGCATTGCAAAAAACCATGTCATTGTAAAGAGTAGTTGTATGAAATAATTTTGTTACAAATAATTGGCAAAAAATTATATCCGTTTTTTTTCAGTCATTTTACTAACATCGATTTGTCCATCCGTCTCTCAGTCAGTCCAAAATAGTGGCAAGTGGCTTGAAATAATTTTGTTACAAAAAATCAGCAAAAAATCATATCCCTTTTTTTCTGTCACCATGTGAGTCCAGTACCCACGGTACTAATTTATTTTACATTATTCTTACCTTTCTGAATGACGTCTTTGTCTGTCTTCACATCGGGATTAATTGACTTCCATGCTTTTGTTAAGCCCCCTTGTGGCGAAACAGTAACCGGGGGTATCTTTGAATCCACAATCGCCGAAAAGGTCACCAATCCATCTCCGCTATTAGTCGTTTTCCCATCGGCCGTTGTTGTTTCACAACCGCCGCACTTCTTAGCATTTCCGCCCTCGAACACATGCGGAAAACATGATATCGAAATCACAATAAATATTAAATGGTTGAATATTGTTGTACGAATCATCATCGGTATTGGTTCTGAGAGGTGCTCACACGCATACAAAGGATTATATACGAACTTGGCAAACATATACAGGGTGTCCAAAACATACATGTTCTTGGGATTTTCAGATCTAAAACACATACATGCTGATAGTGTACTATACTAAAACAAAACAGCATCAGACATAGACTTGGCCATAACTTGAAACTTAGTACAGATTTTCTTCAAGCACTACTGGATTAATTTCTCAAGAATAAAGCTTTTATTTTTGATTGGTACATTTCAATTCAAGACAAATAAACCCATTTCCCAGGTAACTAACTAAATGAATATCAATTATCTTTCAATTGATGATCTATTTGTTTCATATAACCATGAACAGAATCAATTGGGGTATCATACATGAATGCCACATACGTCACCCACTGCTAAGTCAATTGTTTTATTTCCTGTGTTCAACCAAGCATCGAAATAGCAAATACACTATCACATCCAGAACAGCCTTCCCAGAGGCAATGTCCCAGCACACGAGATCATTCTGACAACCAGTAAAGTGGATAGAGTTTGACTTCATCAATTTCAGCATGCCCAATTACCCCCCCCCCCTCATATGGCCCCGTGTGATGTTTATTTACACAGTGAACTCAAACCAATTATCAAAATTCATTAAGAAGTTGTGTTGTCACGAAATGTGTTTTAAAAGTCATCTGTGTGTCGATAAAAACAGAGTGGGCATTGCTAATGGTGGCAGTTATATAGAGTTATATGTATACAATAATTGTACAATGAATTCGAAATGTTCATGATTTTGATAAAATAAAATATTTTATATTGATCAGAATGTTGTCTTTTTGAATAAATAATAATTATTTGTCCCGGATGACGTCCAATTAGTTTTCCACGGTGACTATGAAATCAACGAATACAACATAGTACAAGCCTGATTCTTAATATACTAACCGATTAAATGATATTTGTTTTGCATTAATTTGTTTAACATCTTTTCAAAATTACACTCTAAGGGATTTGCTTTTTAAATAGGAATCAGAAAGAAATATCAATATCAAAGGTTCCAAATAATTAAAATTATTGTTCTTCAACAGGATATGATTCTGGATGTTCTTGAAGTTTGGTTACTTGTAGAATTGCATACAACTCTCATCAAATATGTCATCAAATAACCTTGGTGCCATTTTAGAGAGAAAACGAATGCAATTTTTTATTATTAGAACTTTATTTGTGAAGTACTTGACTGCTCATCGTGGTTCCACTAAAACACACATATCAAAGTGGCAACAAAAACATCGTGTATATCTACGGCGTAGAGCAATCCAAGACCGTATTTGCTTGACTCGACCTCTGCCTCCAATGTTCTGACTTTAGTAAATTCGCCTTTGCTGAACTTCGGAGGGTGAACATCTAGCGTCCGCATCCTCAAAATGTGTGGATCATCATCAAAGTCACACTCTTTGCTGTCTATCACACAGTTGTCCTCATAAATTACCGAATCCTTTTTCATCATTCCCGTCCATTCTCCTTAAACACGAGAACGCAATGTAAGTAATTCAAATTGATGGATATAGTTGCAAAAACTATGGGGGGAGGGTACCATCTTATATACCATGTACAGATCATTTATACTTTTAAGCTACACATTCTAAGAATCTTGAACGTAAAATTTAAAATTATGATTGCATGACCTACTCCCGGCTCATCTCAATTGTTTTTTCCAGGGACCTTAGTTTTTATATTCTCAATAAGAAGAAATGTCAGGATAACGAGCGGTAAGTAAATACTACAAAGGGAATATGTACTTCCCTCCATAAGTTGGGCACCTAATCCCCCCCCCCCATTGGAATCAATGTTAAAGCCTCAAATTTAATGATATTTTGGACTCCTAGTGACCCTTTTTAAGGAAGGGGATAAGAACCCCATAGAAGGACACAAGTATGCAGTGGCGTAGCCAGCAAATGGTGACCAGGGGTTCGATTTTCTATGTATCCACAAATCTTCCCCTTCATCGGTGTACCTCACAAAAAAAGCATTTTTTGTATTTGTCATACATACAATGTACACCCCTCCAAAAGTTTGGCAACAATTTATGTTGAAATAGTTTTTGGTGAATCTTTTACTGAAAAGATATTGAAATCTGGTAGCAAAATCATACATTTAAATTTTACTGCACTTGTTTAATTGTTCAATGGAATCCAAATCAAGGGTTAGCATACATTGAGCCAACTTTTGTTAAGGGGAAATTATAACATATCTCTAAGGAACATGTTTTTGACGAGCTACCATTGATAAATCGTCATTCCCAATTCATGCTTTAGAGTTCATTCAAAGATATTCAGACACATGCTATTTTCCCACACTTTTAGATGATTTTTGAAAAGAATCCAAATCCAAAGAATTTTATTTATATTTCATTTTGTAAGACCTCATGAACTTACAGTTATTTACTGAAAACTAGTATATTCATAGCAAATATTTTTGAAGAATGTAATACTTATCTAAATCATGGCGCACAATAAAAGTCGTAATGGCTGCACGAATACTCTCAATTGGTACTGACGATAAAAGTGACAGATGACAAATATTATTGTATTACATATGAAACGAAACATTATATCACCGTTCCGCTGTTTTTATCATTAATGACGAGAATCATGAATGTTTTGAGAAATGAAAACATTTTAGATGAACTTGTGAATCATTATAGACTTTGATTTGTTTTTGAGAAATTAACGTTTTATTATTTTATTCAAGAATGCTGCCAAATCTTTTTAGACACACGATTTGAAACTTGTGGTAGGCCAATCCTCTGTCTTTCTGGCAAGTACACTCCCCTCCAAAAGTTTGGCAACCTAAGCTCCCTGCCTCCTCTTTATATTTGAATTTTTATTTACATAACCTGCGGGGAAAATACTTATAATATTGATTAAAATGTAATTTGATTTCACTTCCAATGCCTCCAAATTTTCCCATTTTTTTTACCTCTTTTGTTGATTTTTTTAATCCGCTGGTGATTATCAGTGGATCAGTTTTTTAGAAAATAAAAAGTGATTATCAGGAAGCAATGCATATTGGTACACCATGTGATTTTTTAATATTTTTTATTATGAACTTTTTCCCTTAACTGTATGGCATTATTTTGCATCTTTATTCATTAAATTCAAATATATTCGATTTATGAAATATTAATATTCGCTAAATCATTTTCCATTCGGTAAAAACGTTTATATGTTTGTTACAGCAAATTAAGTTTTCAAAATAGCCAATAACTTAATACCACGTTCATTAAATTACATATTTCATTCGCTAAATTATATGTTTTTTTGCGTAAATTGTTAAGGTATTTCTTAAGAGTAACACATTATATGCACACTTTTGGATTTCTATTTGAACCCTACCAAAATAAGTTTGCCTATATTTACCGAATGGATTATTTTTCTATGACATAGTTAATGCATTTTACCGAAAGCTAATTTGCTATTTACCGAATGCAATAAAGTAATATTCGATAACTTTCGTTGTTGTTCGATATTTTGTCACGTGACCTCGAGATTTGCAAAATGGCCGCGCAGCTATTCTACATCGTTCAAATATATCACGTGACTGAAAGTCTCGTAAAGTATCGAAAAATAATGAAATATATCGAATGTGGCATTCGGTATTTACCGAATATAAATAATTTAAATACCGAATGTACAAATAATTAATTGAATTATACGTGCGTTAAGGAAAACAAACAGATTCGCTGCATCACACAAATACATGTACACTGTGTATAAATATCAAATGTGAATGCCAACACAAAGAACAAGTGAAACTATTTAGCGAATATAAATTGTATAGATTATTACATTCGATAAAATAAAAAACATTCGATAGATTTGGTAAAGGTTTGGTAAATTGTTTGTTTTATTTGGTATTCATGGAATATTTAATGTACCGAATAAAGAAGCAGTTTAAACACCATATAACTGTGAGAATGTAATACTCACTTGAAATAATAAATCTAGACTTATTTGATATAATCCTCCTTACGCCTTTGCTTTCCTCAGCAAAAGATGACTGCATCTGACCTTTTTATTGGACAGAAATTTCCACTGCACGTAATGTGTGTACCTTTTACACTTGTATCTAGTAACACAGACATACTCACCTAATTGCCTCCCTTAATCCATTTATTTGCTAAACATATTATAATTAATGTCATAAACGCGATCCACTAAAGTTTGATATTCTTGAAAATAGAGTAAATACTTAATACACTGAAACAGCAGCATTTTAATCTTAAAATGATCTCCGAGATGAAAGTGCATCTGAAAAAGCAAAACTGATTTTTTCGCAATCGATTTATTTTTCCTTAAAAAGTGATGGATAATAAATACCCATTCGATCAAATACTTGTGTTTATAAATGATACATATGCTTTTAATAATAACTCATTTCAAAATGTTTCTATTATTTAATATTTGCTTTTGAGGACTTGTCAGACCCGGGGACTTAGCAAGAATTTTTTTGTTTGAAATAAAACAAAACGGAGGGGCACAAATTTGAAAGAAAATGTGTTTTCATCAGTATTAAGACAATTTGTTTATTTCACTGTAGATGGAGCAGCTTTTTATTGATATTTTTTCTTTGCATAATGTCATAATGCTCCGGGGTCTTCTCAAAATTAAACAATCCCACCCCGTGCCTGAGGTTGCCAATCTTTTGGAGAGAAGTGTAAATTTACTATTTTTATCTACTAGTCATATAAATTGAATATATGTTATTGGTTATTGCAATGAATTTTCCACAAATATTTTTGGGGGGAATCTCGACCGGGGGTTCGTCCGAACCCATCGAACCCCCGGTCCCTACGGCTATGATAGGGATATAACCCTCATGACAATTCTGCAGATAGTTTGATAAGGTTTCCGGACAACTCGGACCCAGGACAAGTCGGACCCTGGACAACTCGGACCCAAGACATCTCGGACCCAAGACATCTCGGACCCAAGACATCTCGGACCCAA